CAATTTGTAACAAACCTCTGCTTTCTTCCATTTAGTCACTCTTCTATTCAATTTGCTAACTTATCCCCCACACCTATAGAGCTAATTTGTTTTACAAGCCTTTTATGTCGCACCTTGTCAAGTAATTTCTGAAAGTCCAGATACACCAAATCTACACCCTTACCCTCATCTACGTAAGAAGTAACCTTTTCAAAGAATTTCAAAAGATTTGTAAGACAATATTTTCCTTTAGTGAAACCATGTTGACTATCCAATAAAATTCTAAACTTTGTTAAATGAATTTATAAAGCATCTTTTAACAGATTTTCCAAGACTTTTCCCACAACTGATGTAAGACTAATGGGTCTATAATTTTTATCATCTCCCTTGAAAAGATGAGTTACATTAGCTAACTTCCAATCCTCTGGTACCTGCCTGCTATTCAAGGACTGACAAAAAATAGTAGTAAGTGGTTCACATATCCAATCTTTAACTTCTTTCAAAACCCTTGGGGAAATATTATCTAGCCCAGGAGCCTTATTGTTTTTTAAATTTCCCAATTTTTTTTTAACTAGCTCAGAATTAATACAGTCATCTAGTTTGATCTTTTTTTCCATCTATCAACTGTTCAAGATGAGGAATACTGCTTAAATCTTCATTAAATTGGAAATATATTTTCAGTATAGGAAAATTATAACTTTTAGCTTGCTGTCCTTAAGCAAAGCTGATTCTTTTGTTACAAATTCAGACAGAGTATACTACATACGGTTTGAGTTTTGTTTTTATGAACTTCTTTGACTTTGGTTTTTGAGGTAGACAACAATTTGGACTGTATTATGACATCCTCAGCATAACTTAAGACATCTACCTAAAGAACTAAGACAAGAACTGTCCATAAGAAGTTTTATTCCTATGTTTTGTGTAGTTGAGCTCATGTTAATCTGACAGAAGTTTCATAGCCCTTAGTTAAGATCTAAAAGTTCCATAGTAAACACCTCAGACGCAGAAAAGTATGATTTAAAATAATCGCAACTTTTGCATTGTTATAGTTGTTTTAAAGTAGTAAACAAGGTTCAAATTTTAGTAAATTAATTCTCTGATTGTTAGTTCAAAACATTGCCTAAGTTAAAAGTACAAAATTCTTTTGGTTGAAAAATATATTGGATTTTCAATTTAAATCTTTTATTTTTATTTTTATAAAATGTTTAAGTGAAATTCCTAATGTTATTGATAAGATATTTTAGCTTGATAATTTACATACAATCTATCTGTAAATCTTAAAGCTAGAAAAAGTTTTATTAATTTGAATAGTAAAAGAAAAAGTCAAATAATGTGTTTAGTTTGTGATAAAGAAACTGATTTAATTTATTGTTGCTGCCGTTTTAATATGTATCAAAATGGAAAGTACCTTCTAATACCTAGATATGTTGCATTAGCAGGTCATATTTCTCTGGTGGTGGACTAGAATATTGGATAAAAAAAGATGCAAAGGATAAGAAGACTCCTTCATTTTCAACATCTTGTGATACTTTCAATTTTACAGTGTAAGTTTTGTTGAAATAACACCTTGCTAAAGACCCTTTATATTTCTGTGTATTTTATGAATCTACAAAATTTCTTTAGTTCTGAGCAATTTTTCATAAAAAAATGCTCAAAACTAAAAGTTTCTAGACTCACAAAATAAATACATCCAGAATTGAATGTAAATCAAATGGATTCATCTTTACTTATGCTGTATATTTTAATAATTTATGACAGACATGTAATGTGCTGACTAATTCTTTATTTTGGATAAAATGGGATATTATGGAATCTAATTTGGGCACAAAGTTATGTCAATGGGAAGTGTCAAAGGGTTGATGTATATGTGTCATGTAGCTTATGGAGAACTGAGTAATCAAAAATGGGTGAAATAAAAGTGATAATTTAATAGACAAGTATTCATCTGTAGGTTGGTATTACTTGTGGTTTAATATAGAAATCACAGAATTATAATCTCATATTTATGTTTTTATATTGTGTGAATGTTTGTTTATTTAACAGTGTACCTCCTCTGAAAGAAAATATTTTGCTACTAGATGTGGGGAGCTGTTACAATCCATTTAGATGTTTCAAAGAAATTGTACCAATAGCTATTGACCTAACTCCAGCCACCCCAGTAAGTTAGTTTCTCTACCTGACTGATAAATATTTCATTCTTTCTGTTTGTGAACTTTTTCACTATTCATAAAATTTTCAACAAATGAAAATGTCAAAGGAATTTTATATATTCAGTAATGATTTGAAAATAGAATTGTGTATCTGACTTATGAAAAATAAGTACTAGATATTGTATTTGCATGATGTATAAATGTGTATTGTATCATTTAATTAGAAAATACAGATATAAAGGCATTCTTATACAAGTTATGTAAAGCCAAAAATTTATTACCTTAATATTCTCGCATACAAAGACTTTGTACATGTGACTAGTTTGGTCTTATGTATAGGCTCATGTAAGGCAAACCCAAGATTGAAACTATATATGTGTTTGTGATTATTTTAGGAAATTGAAATATATGTTTATGTAATTTTGATGAGAATACTTATTAGTACAATCACAGGAACACAAAATTGTCTGACCAACAGATACACATTTTTTAATGGATGTTGAAACATTCATAAACTGAACATGTGTTTGGTTAGACTCATTAAGTGGCTGAGTCTTATGAATATAAAAAAATCATACGTAATTTGAACTAATAGATTATAAAATCGTATTTTGGTGCAAAAAGCGTATTTTTTACCTTAATTTTTAATTTTTAAGGAAAAAAGCTCAGCTAAATAATTAAGTACAGTATATATGCATTTTTGTAAGACTGCACTTAAAGGGGTTTGTGAGAAATGTTTTGATAAATTATGAATATAGTAGATTAAAATTGAACTTTAATAATAATCATAAAATTAAATTATAAAGAGTGACCCAATTGTTTTTTTTTTTCATATTTAAAGCTAGTTGTCAGCATGTCAAACTGTGGATTTGAAGATTCACATTACCATCTATTCAGAGAGCAGAAGGGACATGTGCCACCTAATTTAGAATATTTTCTAAGCATGAAAGTTTTGCCCCTTGCTTTGCTTGCCAGTTTTTACTCATACTAGCCCACCTTTCCTCTTTTTAAACAATGTAGGCTCATGATTGCCACAAAATTCATTCCACACGTTAGGGTTTTGGGTTCCTTGTAAGAACAATGGTCAAATTCCACTGTTCAATTAGTCTGTCAGTTCAAAATTAGGAACAATTTAGTCCATGTGTAGCTTTGAAGCAAACAAAACATTTTAAGCTTTGTAATATTTTTTATGTGTAATAAAAATTATCATCAAATGTTAAACTTTTAAAAATTGGAAATTGTGTTGAAATTGAACATTTACAGATTTATTAAAATATACATTTACATTGTTTGTATGATATACTATAGCATTTTTACTTGAAAATTATATAGCTTATTTTTCTTCACCTTTTGTAAGTTTTACTTGTTCCTGTACATTTTATTTTTGAAGATTTTATATCATGATAAATTTAGTATAATGAAATAAGCTTTTCATAAATTTTCTACAATTGAAGGTTAATTTCCTTACATTTAATACTCCATTATAATAGATATGTTTATGTAGCCATTAGATTTTGTGTCTTTCTCCAATATTTTTTTAAAAAAATTATGGAATTTTCCAAAGGATTTTTGGTGTTTCAGGATGTTTACACTTGTGACTTTTTGAAAGTCTCGGTAGTTACTCAAGAAGACTCTAGATGGTGGCAAAATCAGCTTATCAGCACTGAGGAAGTGAAAGAGTTACCTGGAAACACTTTTCATGTTGTTATCCTATCTCTTGTTCTTGAATACTTACCCGCTCCTCATCAACGATGGACATTCTGCACCAAAGCCTATCAGTTACTTCAGTACAATGGTTTATTACTTATAATTACACCAGATTCGAAACATCAAAATAAAAATGCTTTAATGATCAAAAACTGGAAGAGAGCCTTAGCAACCCTAGGGTTTCAACGAATTCTGTATGAAAAACAAACACATCTTCACTGCATGGGCTTTCGTAAAGTTGAAGGTCCAGTGATCCTGAAAGGATTGCCACCTGTGGATGATCCAGCTCAGTTACTCTACATACCACAAGATCTTCACAATTATAACATACTAAATGCAGGTGAGAAAAACATAGCTGTTGAGAGGAAAGAGGATGAAGACAATGAAATTAGTGCATCTTTTCTAGAATTGCCATTTGAAGCTTGAAATTGCTTGATGTAATCATAGTGTTTAACTAAACCTTTAAATATCCAATTTTTTTTTAGTTTTCTAGTAGGTATAAATCACATGCAACTGTTTTTTATGCAACAAAAATCTGGTATTGTTCTAATGGAGATAAAACACAAAACATTAAAAAAGATATTTTTGTAATTTAAATGTGTGTTTTTACAGGTGAAAGAGTTGGTACATGTGAAAACAAATTTAATACAACATGTAGAAAAGTTAAGTACCGATGTTGGACTAATAATTTAAATAATTAACATTTAACAATAATTCAATAGAAATGTAATTTTTGTTAAATAAAATTGGGCAAACAGACTACCAATTTTTCTACTGTTTGGCACTTAGATATATTTATAATTCAAGAAAATTTGCTGTTTGTGTATTTTTATCAGCCTATGCTTTGAACAGTGTTGTGACTGTATAAATGCCTTTTACAGAAGATGAAAGTCCTGTGATAGTGGTTTTAAAAGTATGTATATTTTTTAAGTGTGAGAACAAGTGATAGGGTTTGACTGTATAATTCCCCATATATTCTATTTTCTTACATTATATTTGTCAGAGTATTTTGAATGTTTGTATTAAACTTGTTATAAGATCAGCCCTGTGCAGCATGACAATTTTCAGTACACTGAAATAAACTAACTCAGAAATGTAGTGCTTTTCTCATGTTTTACTTCATTTCATTGTGAGCCATAAATGTGTAATATATGTATATATTTTGTGTATCATTGTTAATGTTATAAAAAGCACATAACAATTTAATGCTTTCATACATGTTTTTATTGGTTGTTCATACTAAAAATTTTGCTTATTTTGTTTGCAAAATTTCACCATGTTTACCTGGCATCATCAGGTGAGATAGAAGAACTGAGGCTAACAAACACATTACTGGATACTGTATAAGTAGCCAATTCTTGTATCTCACCTAATGATGCCAGATAAATCTGGTGAAACTTTGCAAACAAAATAAACAACAGTTTTAGTATGTACATTCAATAAAAAACATGTATGAATTTTAAAAAACGCAGTTCTTTCTAATATTTAATTCATATTTGATGCTTTCTTTTATCAAATATACTTCAAATTAACAAAGTTGACATGATGGCATTTTACTTACAGTATCCAGTAATGATATTATACAAGTACTTAAAGTTGTATGTAATGTCAAATTTTACCTATAATGGTTTTGACTGTAATGTGTAATGTAAACTGTTGTAGTTTATCTGGTAAACACATCAACTAATAAGGTTCATTTAAGTATCACAAAAGGTGCGTGTTAATCTTTCAGCTTTTTGAAAGACAATTAAACAGTAAACATACTTTGTATCAGCAAAATCATATAAAACTTGTTAAATAATATCCCTAATTTACTTTTGACCCATTTTGAAATGAATGTAAAAGTATAAAGAAAATTCGTTGTTTTTAATTGGAGATTATTTGAAGATTCTATTTTGTTTTTACTTTTACATATTTCCCCTCAGTAGGCAGAGTGCATATAGCCCATTGTGTGGTTTTGTGGTAAAATAAACTTTTTACCACTGTTCACCTGGATCAACATTATTAGCATCTTGCTGCTGAAAAGAGCATTCTGAAGTTTGGGGCCATGAGTGCACTCTACGAATAATGGTAACATTTGGCTATTCGGTCAGACTAGAGTTGGTGGACAGTACTGTAGGCTAGTTACTTTGCCCTAGACTCTCAATTCAAAATTTCTGTACAGTTATATAACTTCTGTAGCTCTGTGCGAAAACTATGAAAGATACTTAACACAAATAAATATACATTTGAGATGTACAAACATAATCACTAACGAGACAAATGAATTGAGGCATTTTATGTCCCCCGGTGGGACAGCGGTAGGTGTATGGATTTACAATGCTGAAATCAGGGGTTTGATTCCCCTCGGTGGACACAGCAGACAGCCCAATGTGTCTTTGGTTTAAAAAAACGCACACACACAGTTATTTTATTCCTAAACTAAAGGGCATACCTCTGCCATGCAGCATTGATCATATTTGGTCCTAAAAAAAAATATGAGAATGTGTTCGTATGTCCATTGTTATCAATGGAAATGGACTTTTTTTGGCAAGACAATGAGGAATAATATTCTAAACAAAATCCAATCATTTTTGACTAAGTTATAAAGCAAAAATAGTGTGAAAATTTAATCCTCATGTTAATAAGATAGGAATTTTTTGGATTTTTGTAATTTTGCTGTGACCTCAACCCTCCAAAAACTAATTACTTCTAAGTTGGATCATAGTCCAAATGTATACCAACATTCATCTAAATTCATTTAGCCATTTTCGAGAAATCTTGTCGACAATCACACACACACACACACACACAGGTGTGAAACATAACCTCCGTCCATTTTCAGTGATGGAGGTAAAACTTCAATTGAAAAACTGTTTTCTTTGACACTGAAATAAGGTTTTGTCAGCATAGATGGAGAAACAGATTTTTTTTAAGAAACACCAACTGTAACTTATTTTAACAGTTGCAAATGTAGCATTTCTACGTGGTCATGCAAGAACTGCAAAAACATGGCTTTTAAATTACTTAGAGCATATTTCCCCAGTAGCTTAAAATGCTAAAATTTGTGGCTTAATCCCTGCAGTTGTCTTGACACAGAAAACTTGCTGCTTTGCTCATAACAACAAACAAAGTTTAGAGTATGTAAAATAACTACAAATAACTTGGCAAAACTTTTGAGATAAAAATCGTAAAAAAAGATCATTTAAGAAACGTTTCATAAGCTCATTTATAGTGATCAACAAATATGATGTTGTTTGCTTCGTAGATGTTAGCCTTGATGTATCGTTAGGTTACAGTTTGACATAAATATGAATTAATATCGGTCAAAGAATATATATAA